ACCAGGACTGGACCTGGACCAGGACCAGGACCAGAAGGACGACACGACGAGCACGAAGCACCAGCGGCATTTTAACAACAACAAACCACAAACAGGATCCACCAAACAAACTCAGAACAAAACAAACACTTACGTCACTGTTAAGATTAAATGTTTTGTGTTGGACTTTTTAAAGTGGAATTTATTTTTATTCGGAATTAAATTATTTTCATTCGGAATTAAATCTCTCATGTAAACGTGGATATCGACTCTGAGCAGGATGTCGGGACTTGCTTCATTTAAAACACTGAGATATTTGAGACGTTTACAGACAGTGGAGCAGCGTTTCAGACTCTCAGGTTGAGACGTTTCAGTTTGTAGTCGTGGTAGAATCACGTAAAAAAACAACTCGGAGTCGTAGGTTCTGCAGTTTTGACGAACTTCACAGAGAAACGCCGCTCCTCTGCGCATCAAACTGCAACGGCGACTTAACGCGCGACAGTTCTACTACGTTCTCTTGAGCTCGAGACTCTGGGAAAACCGAGCTCCACCCGGAGAAAGTGAAATGAAACACAAACTCATCACAGTTAAAATGCTGGTGTTGGCGCACAAAATAAACGAGGAGAAGTGTCTTTTCTTCATTTTGACATGTGAAGTGTGAGAGTTTGTGCAGAGAAAGTGTCTCTAAAAACTTTGTAGTGACGTTCAGACTTTCTTTCGCGTCATCGTTTTTTTTTTCTGAACGTGTAAAAGTCAAACTGTCAGAACCGATTTATCATCTGAATAATCTGACGTTACTTTAAACTTTCTCGGGCTCCAGATTTTCCTCGACTGTCGCAATGGAACAAATTTACAACGAACGTCAAGAGAACTGGATTTATCGTCTACAGACATTCAGTAGAACGCAGGGTTATACTATTAAAATTGTGACTCTGTGGTGAAATAATCTCTCGTCTGAGTTCAAACTCCTGGCCTGGAGATCGTTTTGATGTCGTTCGAAACGCAGCGACGGAACCTGAAAAACTGCAGCTCTGACGATTCTTACATTTCTGTTTTCGATACAGACTTCGTGAAACATTGGCTCTGGTTTATTTCGGGTTTTTGCAGCATTTTAGCACGTTTTTCTTATTGTTTTGTCGTCAGCTCAGTTTCAAAGTCCATGAATCTCTCCTGTTTTAAATGTTTACAGAAAAAAATAAAATAAAAATTAGAAAATCCTGGTGTGACTCCACGAGAACGAGGAAAGTGAAAGAGTCGCTCAAAATCCATCGATTCTTTGACAGTTTTACATCAAAAAAACAAAAAAAACATTTCTTTGAGTCGTTTAAAAATGTCCATTAAAAACTAGTTTCAAAATAAATCCACAAAAATCGAACAAAAACGAGTTCAGTCTGATGCCGATCCCAGAAAGGACTTTTATTTTGAAGTCCGCAAAAACAGGAAAGTTGTTTATTTTGAAAAAGGCTCAGGTTTGTTTCGTTCCTTCCTTGTATCCTTGTGTCCTCTCCTCACGTCCTTCCTTGTATCCTCGCTTCCTTTCCTTTTCGATTCAAAAAATTCACTTTTTAAAAATGAGACGTGAAGGTCCGACTTTTGTCTTTTTCTCCAGAAAAATCAAAATTCTTCAAAAACGTAAAGATGTTTTCGTTTGGTGACGGATCCGTTTGTGTTTTTTGGTTTAAACACAAGAATCGTCTCAGATTTTGTGGATTTGTCTGTAAATTTTGTACATGATTAAGGCTTTTATTTTTGGAAGAACATTTTAAGTGACAATTCTGTTATTTTCTGCTTATTTCTGTGATTTAAAAATCTTGTATTGTCTTGACTGAACGTTGTTTTGATTTCATTTATATTTCTTACTTTGGTTTGAAAATTAAATTTGAGAAAAATGCTTCTTCACTGATCATTTTAAACTCCACAACTCCAAAAATATAAAAACTTTTCTGGTGGAGGATTTGTCGTTTGCTCGTCTCTCGTACGACATTTAACAAATTTATCTTGTTTTTATTAAATTACAGTTTTGTTTTGTTTTGTTATTTAAACTCCTGCAAAAACCTGAGAGCGAGTCCACGTCTCCACAGATCTGAGCTGGTGATGTGACCCGCTCGTCTCCGTGGAGATTAGAGTTAAATTAAACGCCGTATTGTAGAAACAGGAAAACATCAACAAAATTTAAATCTAAACATTTAAATCGATCAGAAAATGACTTAAAAGTGTTGAAATGTGTCCATGCAGCGAGATCATTTTACTGAACAAATTTTCTGGAACTCTAGACGAGAATTTCGAGATAAACAGACTTAAAACCAGGTTAGGATCAGTGTTCATGGGCTGGAAATAAATTCTCAGTTGCTAAATTCTAAATAAAATGCTTTAAATTCTGCAAAATTCTCGATAAACAAACTCAAAACAGTTTTATTCTGAGCGTTCGCGGCTTGAGAATAAATTCAAAGATGCTAAATTCTAGATAAAAGTTCTTGTAAATGGATTGTCGCTTCTTTTTTTTAAACATTTATCACCTAAATTTAAGATTTTTTGATGAGTCGAGTCATGGAAGAAAAAATATTTGACACTTTTTAAGATTAAACAAACAATTCAGAACGAGTAATTCGATCATAAATGTGAAAATAAGATGAAGAACCTGATAGAAGTTTGAAAATCTTGTGTAAAAGAGTCGAGCAGGTGGTGGATCCTCTGCCAAAAAAGTTACACAATGAAGCTTTAATAAATGAAGTTTGTCCTGTTCTGTAAGTGTCCAGCAGAGGGCAGCACCGGCCCACACTCACTCACTCTCCTACTTGGTTTTGAGCTTCTGTTTTTTGGAATAAATTATTTAGAGTTTGTTTATTTTTTTTTGAGTCTGATTTTTTTCTGAACATTTCTGAGGTGGACACTGCATCAGAGCAGGTTTAAAGCTCCACTGCGGAACATTACAGCAGGGGTTCGTTTCATCAGATTTACAATTTTAAACACAGTTGAATTTCTCACTTTCAACTCTGAAAACTTTTAACTCTGAAAAAACACGCTTGAATTATTTATAATCTGAATTTTAGTTGCTGAATTTTTAAGTGTTTAAAATTAAAAATAAAAATTCTCACTTGGCGTCTTCGATCTTTGAAAAATTTAAACTCTGAATTTTGAAAGTTAAATTTGAGAGCTTGAAAATTTTTTATTTTGAATTAAAAACATATTGGAAAAGTCTTTGGAAAATTTCAGCAACTAAAATTCTGAATAAAAAAAAAATCCAAACATGTTTTTTCAGAGTTATAAAAAATTTAAAGTGAAAAATTCAGCATTTTTTTTTTTTTTTTTAATTCAAAATCTGATCTTTTGGATGCAGCAGCGAAAAGTCTTCACTCCCAATCTTTTGTCCAGTCACAGAATTGAATTTTCATATTCTAGAATTTTTTTCCTATCAATAAACGCATTGTATTTTGTCATAAATTCTCCTAAAATCTCCTTTTACAGCATAAAGTTGTTTTTTTTTCTTTTTAACATCCTTTTTTTTTAAAATCCTCGTCCGTCTTAAATACGATCGGGCGATTAAATATTTCACGCTCTGAACCTGAAACCTTCCTGAACAATTTCTCTCTAAAATGATCAGTTCAAGAAGCATTTTTCTGTTTTTCCGACGTTTTGAGATTCCGGGTGTTTTGTCGTTCTTGTCGTTTTGTCGTGGCTCTGATTTGGAAGAACTGTCCCTTTAAAACAATATTCACTTTCTTCTTTTTTTTTTTTTTTTTACAAAACTCTACAATCTTCAGGGAGCGTCTCCGTCCCTCAAAAAGGTGCTTTGAAAATTATTTATGGCTTTTTTTTTTTTTTTTTTTACTTTTGCGTTTTGTGCAAAATCCCTTTTCTGTTGTGGACTCGACTTTTGGTCCAATTTCGACCGTTTTGAAAAATAAAAAAAAAAATCCTCAAAAAACTCCTTAAATCTTCCCCCGGTTTTCCAAAATAATGGCACAAGGAAACACTGTCGATCCTTTCGACTGACGTGACTTTAAAGCTGCACTGCGGGACTTTTCTGGTTGAGCTTCAGGCACCTGCTTGTCGCCGTGGAGATGACATCATCGCTTTGACTGGAAGGTTTCGCAGTAGGTTTCTCAGAAGGAGGATTTTCTTTACATTTTCGGTTAAATTAACAAAATTTACAGCAAATAAACACATTAAACTTTTACATTTATTGTATTAAATTTATGGAAACCCAAGTGACGGTGCAAGGCCACGTTCCAGATCAGATCGGTGCAGAGGCGAGCCGCTCACAGTTATAAAAATGTACCGTATTTTCCGCATTATAGGGCGCACTTCAAATCCTGTAATTTAATCCAAAAGCGAGTGTGAGCCGTATAATCCTGCGACGGAGAATAAGGCTCAGATAAAAAATAAAAAATTATGCTGGCGCTACAATAATAAAGTTACATTTCGATATTAAAGTTGTATTTTTATGAGAATAAAGTCGTATTTTTATGAGAATAAAGTCGTATTTTTAGAAGAATATCGCGGTAATATTAGGAGAACATCAACGACTCTGAAAGTCTGAATGAGTCTGAGGTTCTGGAGGATTTGGAGCTTTTTGTAAAAGGAGAAGAATCTGTGGATCATTGGTTCATTCGACTGAACCAGGTCTGGAACCAAACCAGAACTAAGACCAGGATTGAGACCGGGACCAGACCGGGACCAGACCAGGACCAGACTGAATTTGAATTTATTTGTTTGGAGGATAAGCCCCTTGAGATGTGTCACCATCTCGTTTTCAAGGGGTTCCTCAAACTGAACTGAAAACGGTTTAGTCCTGGTTTAAGTCACGGAAATGGGAAATGGCTTTTCTGTGACTTAAAATGTGATGCGGGAATAATGTGCCGCATACAGACTGAACCAGGACTAAACCAGGACTGAACCAGGACTAAACCAGGACTGAACCAGGACTAAACCAGGACTGAACCAGGACTAAACCAGGACTGAACCAGGACTAAACCAGGACTGAACCAGGACTGGTCTGGTCCCAGTATCACGGTCTAGCCCTGGAGCTGGTTTAGTCCTGGCTCAGTCCTGGTTTATTCCGGAGGCGCAAATACTGAAGAAAATCTTTGTTTTTTTTCCGTTTTCTTATTTTAGTTTTATATTGAAAAACGAATGAATGAATGAAACACGGACTGAGTTTCTTCTTCTGCCGCATTTTTCACTTTTCACACAGGATTTTTTTTTACACGTTACAATTTAAAAGTTGAGAGTTTTTGTGAACGTGTTAAATAAAGTTTGACAGATTTATCCAACTGTTGTTTTCCTTTAATGCGCCTTAAAGTCCGGGGCCGTTTCTACGTGAAAAGTAAAAAAAAAATACACCCTATACTGCAGAAAATACGGTAAGTTTTTCTAGGTATTTTTGATCAATAAAAACGCCCGCAGTCGAATAAATGTAATAAAGCTGTACTGCGGAACATTCCACACAAAGCAATAACATCTCCACGGACACAGAAAAGTCGAGTGCAGCTTTAACTAACATTCGTAGTTTGTAGTTTATTTTTGGCAGATTTAAAGAGCTGTTTTTTCTTCTCTTGAGTTTTAACTGATTGGCTAATTGCGCATTTTTCCCCGAGTTTGGTCTTCAGGCCCGTCCAAGGAACCCTCACACTTTTATTTCTCGGTTTATCCCTCTTCTTTTTCGTTTTTTGCTTGTTTTCACCTCCACTGGTTATTTTTTGTACCATTTTTCCCTGGGTTTGGTCTGAATCTATTTGCGCTTGATTTAACCCAGTATTTTCCCTTCAGGCTTCAGGTTTTATTCTACGGTTTCCACTTTAACATTAGAGATTTGCCCTTTTTCTCGTCTCCAGGTCTGATGTTTTTTTTTTTATATTTCGCCCACTGTTTCCCTTCAGGCCTTTTATTTTTGTCCCATTTTATTGCCTTGCCACAAACTCAAATCCCTCAGCAGGTTTTTGTGAGTTATTTTGCCCACTTTCTTGTCTCCTTGTACTGTATTTGACCTTTGCCCATTTTCTTGTCTTCTCGCTTGTCTCTGGTTCGATTCTGTTTGTCCATAAAACCACACCGGCTTCAGTTTTCAGTCTTTGTCGTCTCCGTGTTCTTCTTTAGTTTATTTATTTATTTTTTAAACCTAGTTCCTTGTCTTCAGGCCTGTGATTGTGACTGCAATGAGTTCCGTTGTGTTTCAGCCCGTTTTCTTGTCTTGAGACCTGCTTGTGAACGTGGTTATCTTGTGTTGTATGTTTTATTTTTTCCGTTTTTCACTGGTTCTCTCGTCTTTTCGCCGGACGAGGCCTGTGGTTGTGACTGTGGTTGAGTTCAACTGAGTTTTTTAGCCCGTTTTCTTGTCTTGGAGTCTGTGGTTGGATACTACGGTGCATTTTAACACGATTTCTTGTCTTCAGGCTGTGGGCAGGCCTCTGTGTGGGCGTGGTCAGGCGTGTTTGTGGGCGTGACCTGGCCTGTTTTGTGGGCGTGGACTGTTGTATTGGTCAGGTGTTGTGGGCGTGGTCAGGTGTGTTTGTCAGTGTAGTCTGGCTTGTTTTTTGGGCGTGGTCAGGCCTCGTTGTGGGCGTGGTCAGACATATTTGTGAGCGTGGTCTTTTGTATTGGTCAGGCGTGTTTGTGGGCGTGTTTGTGGGCGTGATCAGGCCTTGCTGCAGGCGTGGTCAGGTGTTGTTGTGGGCGTAGTCTGTTGTGTCGGTCAGGCCTCGCTGTGGGAGTGGTCAGGCCTCTTTGTGGGTGTGGTCAGATGTGTTTGCGGCGTGGCCAGGTGTTGTTGTCGTTATGTTCAGGTGTGGTTGTGGGTGTGGTCAGGTGTGTGGGGTGTGGTCAGGCCTCGTTGTGGACATGGTCTGTTGTGTTGGTCAGTTGTTGTTTTGGGGGCGTGGTCTAGCCTCATTGTGGGTGTGGTCAGGTGTGTTTGTGGGCGTGACCAGGCCTCTCTGTGGGCGTGGTCTGTTGTATTGGTCTGTTGTGTTTGTGGGCGTGGTCAGGCCTTGTTGTGGGCGTGGTCTGTTGTATTGGTCTTGTATGTTTGTGGGCATGATCAGGCGTGTTTGTGGGCGTGACCAGGCCTCTCTGTGGGCGTGGTCTGTTGTATTGGTCTGTTGTGTTTGTAGGCATGGTCAGGCCTTGCTGTGGACGTGGTCAGGTGTGTTTGTGGGCGTGGTCAAGCCTTGTTGTGGGCGTGGTCTGTTGTATTGGTCTTGTATGTTTGTGGGCGTGGTCAGGCCTCGTTGTGGGCGTGGTCAGGCCTCGTTGTGGGCGTGGTCAGGCGTGTTTGTGGGCGTGGCTGGTCCGCACGTGGCTCTGGAGTCGGGTGTTGGAGGAGAAGCGTTTGCCGCACTGGTCGCAGCGAAGCGACGCGGCCGGAGAATCGCCGGGGGGAGAGTCGTTGGGGGGGAGTCGTTGGGGGGGGAGAGGATTCTGAAAGGTGCGACTGACGATGAGCTTTGAGGAGAGAAACACGACTGAACCTGCGGCCACAGTCCTCGCACTCCGTCCACACGCGACGACGCTTCTTCTGCGAACAAACAGAGAGAGAGAGAGACAGACAGAGAGAGGGAAAGAGAGAGGGATTAGGACGAGAAGAGAGGAAGAAGAAGAGAGAAAGACTAAACGAGGAACCAGGCTCAATATTCTGAGGAGGAAAAAAAATCGAATCATGTGTCACAGCTTCATACGAACACTTCAACAGCAAAATGTTGAGGCCACAGCAGCAGCAGCAGCCTCTGTCTGTGTCTCTGTCTGTGTCTTCTGTCTGTGTCTCTGTCTGTGTCTCTTGTCTGTGTCTCTTGTCTGTCTCTTGTCTGTTTCTCTTGTCTGTCTCTTGTCTGTGTCCTTTTGTCTCTGTCTGTGTCTCTGTCCTTTTGTCTGTCTCTGTCCTTCTGTCTGTGTCTCTGTCTGTGTCTCTTGCCTGTGTCTCTTGTCTGTGTCTCTTGTCTGTGTCCTTTTGTCTTTGTCTGTGTCTCTGTCCTTTTGTTTGTGTCTCTGTCTGTATCTCTGTCTGTGTCTCTGTCTGTCTCTTGTGTCTCTTGTCTGTGTCCTTTTGTCTCTGTCTGTGTCTCTGTCCTTTTGTCTGTGTCTCTGTCTGTGTCTCTTGTCTGTGTCTCTTGTCTGTGTCTGTGTCTTTTGTCTCTGTCTGTGTCTCTGTCCTTTTGTCTCTGTCCGTGTCTCTGTCTGTGTCTCTTGTCTGTGTCTGTGTCCTTTTGTCTGTGTCTCTGTCTGTCCTTTTGTCTGTGTCTCTGTCTGTGTCTCTTGTCTATGTCTGTGTCTCTGTCCTTTTGTCTGTGTCTCTTGTTTCTGTCTGTGTCTCTGTCCTTTTGTCTGTGTCTCTTGTCTGTGTCTCTGTCCTTTTGTCTGTGTCTCTGTCTGTCTGTGTCTCTGTCCTGTCTGTGTCTCTTGTCTGTGTCTCTGTCCTTTTGTCTGTGTCTCTTGTTTCTGTCTGTGTCTCTGTCCTTTTGTCTGTGTCTCTTGTCTGTGTCTCTGTCCTTTTGTCTGTGTCTCTGCGTCTGTGTCTTTTGTCTGTGTCTCCGTTTGTCCTTTTGTCTCCGTGTCTCTTGCGTCTGTACCTTGCGTCTCTCTTCCTCCTCCTCCTCGTCGTCCTCGTCTTCCTCGTCTCTGGTTGCCGCGGGCGACGCCAGGCCGCGGGCCGTTTCCGTGGCGCCCGCAGCCGCCGCCGCCGCCTCCGTCGCCATGGAGATGGCGATGCTCTCCATCTCGCTGTCGTCGGCGTCTTCGTCCTCGAGCAGCTGAGACGGGAGCGTGAGGAGGCGGTGAAGCATCGAGGCGGACGAGCGGCGAGCTGACGGGGGGACGAAGAAGACGAAGAGAGGAGAGGGGGAGGAAGAGGAGGAGGAGGAGGAGAGGAGGAAGAGGAGGAGGAGGAAGAGGAGGAGAGGAAGAGGAGGAGAGGAGAAGAGGAGAGGAGGAGAGGAGGAAGAGGAGGAGAGAGAGAGAGAGGAGAGAGAGAGGAGGAGGAGAGAGAGAGGAGAGAGGAGGAGAGAGAGAGAGAGGAGGAAGAGAGGAGAGAGAGAGAGGAGAGAAGGAGGAGGAAGAGGAGGAGAGAAGAGGAGAAGAGGAGGAGAGAGAGGAAGAGGAGGAGAGGAGGAGGAAGAGGAGGAGAGGGGAAGAGGAGGAGGAGAGGAAGGAGAGGAGAGAGGAGAGAGAGGAGGAGAGAGAGGAGGAGGAGGAGAGGAGGAAGAGGAGGAAGGAGAGGAAGATGACGAAGAAGGAGAGGAAGAGAGGAGAGAGGAGAAGAGGAGGAGAGGAGGAAGGAGGAGGAGGAGGAGGAGGAGAGGAGGAGGAGGAGAGGAGGAGGAGAGAGGAAGAGAGGAGAGAGGAGGAAGAGGAGGAGAAGAAGAGGAGGAGAGGAGAGGAGGAGGAGGAGGAGAGGGGGAAGGAGGAGAGGGATGAAGAGGAGGAAGACAAGAGGGGGATGAAGAAGGAGAGGAAAGAGGGAGAGAGAAAAATTATGAAACAGAGCGAGCGAGGGGGGGAGGAAGGATGAAGAGATGAAAGGATGAGGGGTGAGAGAATGAAAGAGAGAAAGAGAGGAGAGAGGGAGAAAGGGAAGGAGAGAAGGAGGAGTGAGAGGAGGGAGAGAGAGTGAGGAAGGATGAAGAGAGGATGAAAAAGGGAGAAAGGAGGAGAGAAGGAGAGATGAAAGAATGAAAGTGGACAGAGAGAGAAAGAGGGATGAGAAGAGAAAAGGGGAGGAACAGAGAACACGGAAGAGGAGAAGAGAAACAGAGGAGAGAGTCATTTTATTCTTGTTTTCTATTTCATTTTTCTGTTTCACCCAAACGCTCTGAGTCACAGAACACGTTTACATGAGGATTTTTATTCTGAATTAAAATATTCTCTTGGAGTTTCCATGGAAATAATAAATCTGAGTCGAGGTTTGTTAAACTTGTTAAATTAAATTGTTGTTTATTTAATTCTGTGTTTCCGTCTTTGGGAAGAAAACACAAACTGGAGCTGCTCCCGGCTTTTCTGTCATTGTTATTCTGAATTAAATTATTTTTATTTGAAATTACATTATTTTTATTCTGAATTAAATTATTTTTATTCTGAATTAAATTATTTTTATTCTGAATAATTTTTTTTGTTCTGAATTAAATAATTTTTATTCTGAATTAAATTATTTTTATTCTGAATTAAATAATTTTTATTCTGAATTAATTTTTTTATTCGGAATTAAATGATTTTTATTCAGAATTAAATGATTTTTATTTGAATTAAATTATTTTATTTTGATTAAAATTTTAGAATTAAATGATTTTTATTCAGAATTAAAAGATTTTTATTCAGAATTAAAAGATTTTTATTCAGAATTAAATTATTTTTATTCTGAATTAAATGATTTTTATTCAGAATTAAATGATTTTTATTCTGAATTAAATGATTTGTATTCAGAATTAAATGATTTTTATTCAGAATTAAATGATTTTTATTCTGAATTAAATGATTTGTATTCAGAGTGAACTCTCTCGTGTAAACGTGGCGAGGGGTGAAGTGTTTCAGGTGATTTTCTTAAACTCAACAGTAAAATAAAAAGTCGACCTGATCTGTGGTAAATCAAACCCTCGTCTCGTGTCTCGTCTCGTGTCTCGTGTGTCTTGCCCGAGGACACGTGGGCAGTGGGCGTGTACCTTTGGGGCTGGGGGCGGGGCCTGACGTTACGGCGGTGGCGGAGGGCGTGGCGGATGCGGTCGCCGCGGTGACGGGAACGTCCTCGTCCTCGTCGGGGGAGAACACCTCCATGTCCTCCAGCGGCGTCCACCTCGGGTCCTGCTGGAGCGAGGGCGGCTCCAGGCTGAGGGCGGGGCACGCCGTTTACCACACACAAGGACACACAGGAGACACAGCTAACGCTCACCGCCTCATTTAAACACACACACACACACAAGCTAACGCTCACCGCCTCATTTAAACACACACACACAGCTAACACTCACCGCCTCATTTAAAC